GATGGACATTATACAGTTTTTATTTATTTGTTTATTACTCTCTGACTCATAGATTTTCTGTCTTAAAAAATACCATTTGAAGATCATGAAGACGATACAAAGATCAACGCTAAATACTCTAAATCCAATGCAAAGAAAATGAGAATCATAATAAGCACTACTGTGTTGTCTACCGGACTGCTGATCCTGGGCCTTGCCCTGTTGTTTTATGTTTGGAAGAAGAAGCACCAAAAAGGTGGTAAGTTGGTTGTACTATTGTGCCCCTCTGTTTCCAAACTACATAGTTCAGTTGTATAGGGAATTTTTTTCACCTGTCACTGCGTCTTTGCAGGAAAACTAGGACGCAGCCAAAAGGAGGATATGGAATTACCGTTATTTGACTTGATGACTATAGTTTCTGCAACCAGTAACTTTTCAATTGAAAACAAACTTGGTGAAGGCGGTTTCGGATCTGTCTTTAAGGTAAAACCAGATAGTCCTTCATAGTTTTGAAGTTGTATAGATACATGTACTTCTGGTCAGAATGATGGCTACAAGTAGTGTGCAAACTACAAAGCATGAATTTTGGTCATAACATACGCTGATGGATTTCAGGGTACGATGGAAGATGGACAAGAAATCGCTGTGAAAAGGCTTTCAAAAAGTTCTAGACAAGGACTTGATGAGTTCAAGAATGAAGTTACACATATTGCCAAACTTCAGCACAGGAATCTAGTGAAGCTTCTTGGATGCTGTATTCAAGAAGACGAGATGATATTAATCTACGAGTTCATGCCTAACAAGAGCTTAGACTTTTTTATTTTCGGTTTGACCACTCAAAAACCTTGCATTTAGTTCGATTAGTTCGCTTATGCTAGCAGCCTAGCACAATGTATTTTTTGACAATTGTGAATTATGATATTTTGCAGATCAAAGAAGAAGGATGTTATTAGACTGGCCGAAGCGCTTTGAAATTATTAATGGGATAGCTCGAGGGCTCCTCTATCTTCATCAAGATTCTAGATTGAGAGTTGTTCATAGAGATCTCAAAGCAAGTAACATTTTATTAGGCAGTGAATTTAACCCGAAAATCTCAGACTTTGGCCTGGCTAGAAGCTTTGGAGGAAATGAAACGAAAGCAGAGACGAAGAAAGTGGTTGGAACATAGTAAGTATCCTAAAACACAATTGTATGACTTTTTTTTTTGAAGATTTTTTGAAAACATTAATAGAAAGTCTAGATTCTTTGCGTATAAAAATGTTTTTTTGACACATTGATTTGCAGCGGTTACATGTCCCCAGAATATGCAATTGATGGTTTCTACTCTACAAAGTCCGACGTCTATAGCTTTGGTGTTCTGGTGCTAGAGATAGTGAGTGGGAACAGAAATAGAGGATTCTCTCATCCAAACCACAAACTCAACCTTCTTGGACATGTGAGTGTGACAGCATCAAATGTCAAGTTAAAAATTCTTATCACTCGACTTTGCTACTTCTCCTAAGTAGACTAGTTTTTGTGTTTTAGGCATGGATGCTACACACAGAAGGCAGACCTCTCGAACTGCTTGATACATCGGTAGAGGACTCCATCACTCTGCTTGAAGTTGTGAGAACGATTCATGTGGGTCTTTTGTGCGTGCAGCGAAATCCAGAGGACAGGCCGAGCATGTCAGCTGCAGTTCTAATGTTGAGTGGTGAAGGTGCATTGCCTCAACCTTTGAAACCTGGTTTTTACAGTGAAAGGGATCTGACTGAACTCGAAGCTAGTCATTCTTCTAAAGCATGCTCGGCTAATGAAGTCACTATTTCAGTACTTGAGGCTCGATAACATACGGGAAATGATTTCCGCACACCTATCCCTCGTTGTTTTGTCCCTTGATTTTACTACAACTTCTTCAAGGCAAGAAATAAATGATATGTCGTAATTTATATTTCGTGTTGGTGCATATAACTTCTTAGAATTGAACACAAATATGAGAGATTCCAAGCCTTTACTGTTTTTATTTATGTTTTCTTTGGATTTGAGGTATAGTTCATAACTTCATACAGTATTACAGCAACAAAAAGGTTTTAAACTTTGAAAAAAAAAAAAAAAAACCAAGTACATGGATCAAATTTGCCTTTTTTTTTTCAGCAAACGGGAGAATTCATAAAGGAATGCAAAACTAAACTATGAGTCAAAACGAAATGCCTATTATATAAGTCATTGTCACATAGCTACACTCTTTGTGCCGGTTTACAAAACTTTGTAATTATGATTAGAACCGTTTATATTATAAATCACTTTATAAAGATAATTTTTGCACAAAAAAAAACCAATAAAATACGATATTGTTTAATCATTGAACTATATAAAAATGAATTAGTAGGAATTGATAAAAGTATTAAAAACTATGGGAGGAATTTCTCCTCATTCTTGAGTGGTCGAGCATTGTTCATATTTAAGCCCGAAAAAAGAAAAATCAATGGAGAAATGTTCAAAGCCGAGCATTGTTCATCAAAACGTGGCTAGAACAAATTTTCGTCGATTGGAAATTTGGAACATTTTCGAAACATTCTAAGGGACGTGTATCGTCGATTGGGCTGGTGATCCTAATAATAGATGTTCAATTACTGGTTTTATAGTATTTCTTGGCTCCAAGCATATTTTTTGGAGTTATAAGAAACAACACATTGTTTGTCGGTCTTCCACAGAAGCAGAATACATAGCTCTTGCTACTACTACTCCAAAAATCGTTTGGATTCAGCAGCTACTCAAGGACTTACACATTGTAAGTTCTGATACTCCTTTACTTCACTGTGATAACATTTCTACCATGGCATTAGCGATCAATCCAGTATTGCACTCCAAGGCCAAGCATATTGAAACTGACTGTTATTTTGTACGTGAAAGAGTTCAACAAGGGACTGTATTGTTACATTTTGTAGCTTCTGCAGATCAGTATGCAGACATTTTCACAAAAGAATTGTGTTCTCTTCGAAATTACACTCACGCGTTGCTACGGGAACTAGCTATTTCAGACGTAATCGGATGGATAAAACACATTTAAGTTGAATAAATTAAGACAATTACAAACAAACAGAGGGATACATGAGTGAGTGAGGCTGGTAAGATAAGCAGTTTTGCTTTTATACACATTTAAGTGAGTTGGCATATAAACACATTGCGGAATGAGTGGAAGAAACTATATGTGTTTGATTAGAAAGAGATGGTTTCCAAAAAAAAATTGTTTCCTTAAGAAACAGAAGAAACATATAGTTCACACATAATATGTGTCCTGCAGTGTAGGCAGCTAGTTCAACAGGTAATTTAAAACAGAAAGTGTTAAGAACTTGTTCGAGTAGCTAAATTTGGAACCACAACTGTTGAAAGGCAAAAAAAAAAAAAAGACAGGTGGTCTGTTTCCATACGAAACTAAAGAAACAGAACAGGGTCAAGTCTGATTGAAATACATAAGAATATTATGTTTGTATAAGGATCCCTGAACCAAACATTATATGGAAAAGTGTCCAACTTGACTAAAGGATGTTTATTCTACATGGAGGAGATCAGCTACATGCATGAACCAAGTTATGTAGAGAACCTATCTTCGAATAATTTGGTTATTGCTCTCTTTCAAGCTGACTTGGCAACCACAGCAAAAAAAAAAAAAAAAAAAAAAAAAAAAACCAAATTAGCCCAACCCATTCCTCTGTCATAATCTTTTGATTAGTTTTCGTATCTCTAATCCTAAATTTGTCTTCCATGCTCTCTTTCCCATTTTTCCAGCACCCTAATATCCCATTTTCTGATATTAAATTACGCCGGAGGGTGTGTGAAAGTTGGACCGTGGCTTATTTGGTTCTACTTCTGAATTGCTTCTTGTTTAAACTGTTTACTTAGCTGTTTTTAGGTGTCTTTACTTATGAATCAATTTTTTTTAGAATGAAGTTAGAAGATGTTCTAGCACCAAAGACCATTAGAAGTTGGAAAGAAATGCTGATGCAGCGGTTTGAGAACACAGTTTGGGAAACTTTGGGTAGGAAATATGCTTGCAAGGAAAACCGACAATGGGTGAGCATGACTCTCAAAGCTGGTTTATGTTTAAATTAGCGAATCACCATAATCTTTGCTGGTTGGTTTACACTCATGGCCTACATTTTATTCAAGTTCCTGTAAAGAAAATTGGTCTTTTAACATGCTCTTTTCTAAATTTTAACTAAATTTTAAAAAGGATCGTAATTTTGTAAATAAATTCAAATCCTAAATTGAAATTGCAGTGTAACCAAGCCACAGTTTATGACATGGTTTTTTATCCTAGCCATAATTAGACTAATGTGATTTACACCTAGAGACTAATGTGCTTTTTCACATGCCTTTTTCTCTCAAAATTTATAGAAATTTGAAAATGATCATCACAAATTTCAAAACCTGCATTAACCGAAATTAAAAGGAAATGGACACCATGAGTGCTTGCAAGATGAGAGAAGGGAAACAAAAAGGAAATGGTGCATTTGAACAGAATGATGACAATTTAAAACTTTAATTATGAAAATGCATAATTTTCATGTGTTAAATGAATGAGTTATTTTAGGATTACAATGCCAAGCTTTTGGATTTCGAACTTGGGAAAGATGGTCCTGAGGGTGATAAAACTCATGTTTCGACGTGAGTCATGAGAATCTATGGTTATGCAACCCCAGAGTACGTGATGACTGGTGAGTGTGCGTGTGTGTTCTGTAACCATCAGTTCATCATATATCAATATAGCACACTCCAATATCATCACAGAAGCAAAACAGAAACGGTGAATCATAAAAAGCTCCTAGAGTCACAATTCTAGAAGAGGAAAACAGAATGCTCGCAACTCAACCAACAATATCAATAGTGTTCTACTAAATTACACGTTATATGATTAGCATTATTTTTATTGAGATATCTCACATCTCAAAAAGTTTAGAAATTTCAATGAAGGCTACGACCGCATTATATAAAGAAGAAACCTAGACCTAATTGAACACACATAAACAAGCTCACTTTAATATCATAAAGATATAACTAAGATATTTCATGCCGACTCAGGCAAACTAAGTAGACACAATAACAACTCCAGAAAGGTGGAGGCAGGAGCACTAAACACCTTGGAGGTTCTAGATAAACGCAACACAATTATTAGCATCTAATGTCCATATGCTGGATTTGAAATTACATGAATATCACAAATAAACAGAATGGAGAACAAACTTTTGGCGACTCTAATATGGGTAGCTACATATGGAGTGGAGATGGTTGTGTTACTGTTGAAAGCTGAGAACGATCAGTGACACCATCAATGTCATCCTCATTGATGTCATACAGACTCAATATCCTGCATGGTAAATCACATGAAGATCTAAATTTCTCAATATTCAAAATCTAAGACTAAACCACAAGAAGTTAAGAATTAGACCAATCAGATAGATCTGGTTCAGGAAAAAAAAATCAAGAAAATACAGGAAACAGTGGAGGTGGTGGCAAGTAATCATGTAGATAAGATGAAATAAAACCCTGAAATGCTTCTAACATGCAAGGAACATATACCATCATTCACCATCTCTTCCCAAAAACTACAGATACGTTTTAAACCGACAACTATGAATACATATTCAAATTGGGAAAAAGTAGGACGGAAAACATACCCAAAAAGTAACAGTGGCGTTCTAGCTACTGCCAAATCTCAGATTTATCAACTGAGGAGACAAAACGTAAAATCCCCTTTTAGCTGGGAAAGCCCTGACAAAGCACCACAACTCACCGCAAAACCAAACTGTTAGGGTGTCGTCCAAATTAACAAAAATCCAAAATCAAAACTCAAATACAATACCTGAGTTGAATAAAACTCATTTCACTATGATCTGAAGTCAGGCCGCGCACAAACTGGGCTGGAAATTCTTCGGAAATCCGGCAACAACTTCGAAATCCTAGACGGCAAAGCCGTTGATCTCATCGATTCAATCTGCTACTCCTAAGGACACTCAAGGAACCAAATCCCTAATTACTCAAGCAGCCGAATTCAATAGATCCCAACAAATTAAATGCAAGTAAAATACAAAAAATTATAAAAATCAAATGAAAATAATAAAGCTGCAAAATGAAGTAGCAATAGTATACCTTTTCAAATCGAGGGGATCCATCGGCGCGAGATTCCACATCAACTAAAAAAAAAAAGTAAAGAGAAAGTTAGAGAGAACCAAAGATTTGGGGGTTTTGCTAGAACGGAAGATTTCGAGACAAAAGTAAACGTTGAAGAGGACACCAGCACAACTGAATACAACATAAATCATCCAAAATATGACGCAACTACATGTATATATGATATTCACAAAAATAAATAAATAAATAAGGAAAAGTGAGAAAAAAAATTGGTCTCTATTGAGAGCACTAGCTACCGTCCATCTTTTGGTGAGGTTGGCGGAGAGCTCACTGTAGTGGCGCTCGTACCCTTCGAATACGTCGCTCATCTTTCCCTAAGTTTCTCTCTGCATTCAACCCATCACAAAATTTCAGCAATAATTCAAATACAAAGCCCTAAATCCAACAAATTTGGGAGATTGATTGCGAATTATGATGAAAATTTGAACGATCTGAAATCAATGGAATCGGAAGTAAATACCTGTTTCGATTGGAGATTTGAATGGATCGCCGGAGACGACTGCTGAAAAGAAGTGGCGGGTGTTTATTTTTTGTTCTAGATGGTGATGGCGGCGGCGGCTTGCTGTCGAAGCGATTGAAACGGATCGAATAATGTGCACGAAAGGAAACCTCTCTCTCTACAGATGACCCTTCCTTTCACCGCCAAAATAAGGCATCAAAACACCTTGCTCGCTCCTGTTCAGTGCCCCCACCCCTCCCTCTCTCTCTACCTCTGCAAGCCGCCTCTCTCTTTCTGTTTTTGCCTTACCGAATGTCAGACCATCCTCAATCAATCAAGTTAATGGAATCCTCACAAAATCCCTCACTCAATCGGGTCAGTGATAACCTCTATCAATTTCCTCCCTCATCCTCTGCAACACTGGCACATCCCTCACCTAATCCCTCCATCCCATCGAACCCAAGCACACCACCACTCTCCCAAACTGAGAATGACCCAAATACCCCTGCAATTTCTAATCTGGTACGTCGGATTTAGAATGTACTAGGAAGTTTGCCCGTACGTTGCTGCGGGAATGTCAAATATATTGTAAGTATTGTATATAAATGTTACATAAGGGAACAAATATGTTGTAAGAATTGTGTGTAGAATTTATAAAACATGTACCAAGTATTTGCATAAGATATATAGTTGTTACTTGTTCAAATTATAACAGCTTGTACAAACATGAGTTTTTGAAATTCACCTGCCTTAACTTCTCCATACTTTACACACAGAGACCCTTATCTTTTTTGGTGGTTTAAAAGCTTGTAAACCACGGGAGGCTGTCCATTCTGTTACAAAGATGCAGAACCAAAATATATAGTTTATCAATTTTCGAGAGCATATATGGACATATTAAATTGTATGTAAAGAATGTATATCAAATAGCAAAAGAAATCACAACACAGCTCTGGCTAGCACAACAATAAGAAATCTCAAATAGAAAAAATCTACCAACTACCATACGGATGATTTTTAAATGAATAGAAGGCTACCCTATTATGGAGAGCTTATACCTTTCACTTGTTTACTGTTCTTGATGAGTTGCAAAACACAACCAACAAAAGAAAATCAAACAAACATCAAAAGAAAGGTCATGCCTGATAAGAAGGTTTCGTTTATAATTATTTCTATTTCTACATAAATACTAATAAATTAAGCTCCTAATGATCTGCATAAACATTTGCAGGGCCCTCTTTTCCATCGACGGAAATGACTGAAACAAATCCGACCCATGTCTTGATGACATCAATTATGTGTGGAACCACCTAAATGGACTCAAATCACGGAAGAAAGCTAGTCATCAGTGTTCAAGCAAGTGAAGCTAAAAAGAAAAGGTAGGACATATGAACATTGTGATTTTGTACCATCACCTGGACAGTTTTGCCAACATAAGGGCACAGGACAGAAATGAATGAACTCAATTTCAATACGCTAAACGTTTAAGGTATATACATCATGAAAGTCTTATGAATAACCAAATTATCTGAAGTTCAAGATATTGGATTAGCTACATACAGATTTGGAGACAAAACCAACAGATCCAGTCCTGTATAGCTTGCAGTGAATAATATTATCAATTGTTCCAGCAGTGTCACCAATCTCCAACAGTAGCTGGGCCAATGACAACCTGCAAAAGATACGATAATTAAAGTTAGTATTGCCAGTTCATTTTCCCAGGTTAGTGAAATTAAGATGACTTTGCATCAATTGTGCAACCTTGTTGTTTGCCCGTGCACATGCGATCAATTGCCACAACTCTAATGGTTGGTTGCTTGAGAGCAGCCATGGAAGAAGCAGCAGCATTGCACATATATCAACATACATTCATCGTTAGGTACAACCATAAAAGTTTCGCACTCCAAAACACTACTCATAGAATAATCACTGCCCTTCTGTATGAAGCAAAGTTGATTAAAACATCAGCAGTAGGATGTGCGGCGCATGATGCTTCAATGCTGCAACAGTTATCAACCCAAGGGTCAGACAATCTCGAAACAACAGATAAAGAATAATAATCTAACTAATAACATGATTTGAACATATTGGATATGGAAAATTAAAATTAACCAAGCATACATGCATATACATAACTATACAAAAGGTGGCTTGCAGCCACGAAAGACGAAATCTAGGAAGAGGATGAGAAAATGGCGAATTACTTTGAGTGCACTGGTATGGCGACTTCATCTTGACCGAAAAATAGCTTCTGAAATCCCTCAGAACCTGGGTTAATGATTCCAGCAACTGATGGTGTCTCCCTCCCTATTACAAACCTCAGTTATTACATTTACATCTTTCTCAAAAACTAAAAACTATAAGTAAGATACAGTTTGAAGTCAAAATTCGGAAATGATACACACCGCAAAGGAAGTCAAAATCGAGTTAGAAGCACCTGATATATCTTGCCAGTGGTCATGTTGTTATCCCTAGTAAGAGTCACATCTAGGAAGTGTTCATAGTTGCCCAGGTCCAAATCAACCTACAATTACGATTAGAGTTTAAACAAACTCAACATCATAAAGTTTAAAGATAAGACTAACACTCAACATGATACTAAGATAGAATCCAAAAATAAATTAAAGATATGATTACAATTATTTGTTCTAATCGAACATATTTTCTAGTTTTCTTATCCAATTATACAATTGCAGTTCCTAAAACAAAAAATAATTAAAAAATAATTTGCAGAAAGAAAATTGGAAAATTCGAACTTGATAAAAGTCTACCTTAAGAAACCCCATTACCGAGTAACAGCAACAACAACATTGAGACATAATTTGGTGAATATATATGGTGGACAAATTTAACAACTCTAGTACTGTTAACAACGCTTCAACCAATACAACAGAAATGAAATCAATATATACCTACATATCCCGAGTCCGAATAGTACCCTTGTGCCTTGCAATGTCTTGGTGAGTGACTCCTGCTTAAAATAAACCTGCCCAACTACGAAACGTTGAATTTTTTATGTTCTCTTTGAACAAAAATGAAAAGCAGAGTTATAAACAAAGAAGAAAAAGTAATGAAAGTGAAAGAAGAAACGTACATTGAGCCAATGAGGTATGAGCCATCCGGGACACAAACGAAAGATAATGGTATGATGATCTGCGTATCAGGAAAATGGATTTTCAATTTTCAATTAATAAATCAATAGATAATGAAAAGAAAAAGTGAAAGAAAGAAGAAAAGAGATTAAAAACAGATGGTACCGTACCGCAACACTGTTGGATGGAACAATGGTAGCACAACAATCCCTTTTTTAACAGGACAGGAACATATTTATTTATGATCTATCCATTTATGAAGTTAAAAACTTGATTCTAAATTTTGTAGCACATCTTTAAATACTATATTTGTAGTATAATTGTTTGAATTGTTCTCTCCATTTTCTATCAAAATTTTCAGACCTTCTCTTGATGTGATTCTAGATAATGCAACATACAATTGACCATGGGTAAAAACAGGTTCTGGGAGATACAATCCAACTTGCTTCAATGATTGTCCTTGATTTTTATTAATCGTCATTGCATAACATGGTCTAACTGGAAATTGTCGTCTTTTAAAAATAAAAGGCCATTTGCTTTCGGTTGCTGCAAGAGTGATCCTTGGTATGAAAACCTTGTGACCGATATTGGTTCCAGCAAGTATTTTAGCTTCAATAATTCTATTAAATAATTGTGTAACGACCAATCTAGTTCCATTACATAAACCAAGAGGCTGATTTAAAATTCGTAACAACATAATTGGCATCCCAATTTTTAAAATCAAGTTATGTGCAGGGAAACCAGTGAATTCAAGTTTGTTTAAAAACTCTGTAGGATACATTGTTTCAAGATTTTCAACATTACCATTTGAAGAACACAAAGAATCATAACTTAAAAATGCATGTTGTTCTCCAGGTACTAAATTAATTATATAATTATTCACATCTGATACAGTTGTGTTTTGAGGTGTTACAATAGCTCGCTCTCTTAGATATGCATTGTCAAAAGAATTTTCAAAATCAGGATAAGTTGCCAGAAAAATTGAAGAAATTGGATCTGTAGAAGAATGAATTATTAAATCTTCAGGTATTTGAATAAAAGATGAGTCTGCATCATTTGAATCATTTATTATGTCATGAATTTGTCCATCACCTATTTGTAAAATCCAATGTGCAAAATCTTTGATTTTATTTTTCTCATCAATACTTAAATCATTTCTTAATAGTCTCATATTCTCTTTTAAATGAAATTTTTTAAAATGTGATCATAAATAAGAGCTATTTAAAGTAGCATTTATTATATCTTCTTTGCTTGCTCCAGGAATAACAGGTAATATTTGTCAGAAATCACCACCTAATAAAAGAGGTTTACCGCCAAATGGAACATTGTTATTTGGAGCGTGTAAATGTGATAAAATGTCACATAACGATTTATCCAATGCTTCAAAACAATATTTATGATTCATAGGTGTTTCATCCCATATAATCAAATCTGTTTTTTCAATTAATTCAGCAAGATGAGTTTTCTTTTTTATTGGGCAAATTGAGGCATCAGTAAGAACCAACGGAATTTTAAATCTGGAATGAGCTGTTCGACCACTTGGTAATAACAGAGATGCTATTCTTGATGATGCTACAGCCAAAACAATTTTACCTTCAGATCTAAGTTTACTAATAATTGTATCCCATAAAAAAGTTTTTCCAGTACCACCATGACCATATACAAAAAATAATCCTCCTTTTTTTTGTATTTACAGCATCTATAACAGAATTATACACATATTTTTTATCTTGATTAAGTTGTGACTTTAAAATTTCATGTTTTTTGGACAATTCTTCATAATCATAATTTAGCTCCTCTCTTAAAAGTTTATTTTTTATTTCCAACATTTTTTTTCATCAGGCAATGGCAAATTATATTTAACCAAAGAGGTAGAAGCATTGTTAAAAAGTAATTCTAATTCAAATAAGACAGAATTTTTTAGTTCATTCTCTGGTACAATCATATCAGGAATTCCAAAAGTTTTTCGTAGTTTGTATAAGATATCATCATACATGTTTTTCCAATGAGTGTTAAAAAGAATTTGAGGATTTGCAACATCACAATATAAAAGTATTGTAACAAACAATTGTCTCAATTGAGTAGACAATGCAACATGTACAACAGTTGCTAAAGCTTATAACCATTCTTTATCATCACCTAATAATCCTAATGATTTACATGCTACTTGATATGAAGAATGGACAACACCATTAACAATTTTGATATCATCAAAATCTAATGCACCTGTTTTTAAATTCAAAAGCATTCTTAAATAATATAATTCACCTGATGCAGGATGTACATATGCTATTCTGCCAATTGAACCTCTAAAAACCAGGTTTTAGAGGTGCATTGCCCCCACCTCTAAAACCTGGTTTTTACAGTGAAAGGGATCTGACTGAACTCGAAGCCGGTCATTATTCTAAAGCATGCTCAGCTAATGAAGTCACTATTTCACTAGTTGAGGCTCGATAAAATTTTGGAAATGATTTTCGTACACACTTTCGTCTTCATTTTGTCTCTTGATTTTCCTATAACTTCTTCAATTGGATGGCAATGTTATATAAGTCATTGTCACAAGGCTACACTCTCTAGGCCAATTCACAAAAGTTTGTGAATATGATTTGAACTGTCATATTATAAATCGATTCGTAAAGATGATTTTTCAGCAAAAAAAAATGATATTGTTTAGTCATTGAGCCATATAAAAACATATGGTAGGAATTGACAAAAGTATTACGAACTGTTTATGAGGCATTTTCGTTCTTGAGTGGCCAAACATTGTTCATTTTTAAGGCGAAAAAAATCAACAGAGAAAATATCTAACATATTTTAGTAGTGGCTAGAACAAAGTTTCATCAATTGGAACATTTTCGAAACTGTTTTAAATGAATTCTGAAAAATTTTACAAAACAACAAAAGTTCTATGAAAATAAGTTTTATGACGGTTTTGTTGAATTCCCCAAAACAGATTAAAACCCCCAAATAACAATTATATATAAAAAAGAGGGTTATACTATCTACAAACTCATTTTTACTTCCCACACATTCTTTCAATATTCGCTCCTCAGATGAAGTAAATTGGAGAAAATCAAGGCCAAATATTAACAAAGGTGATTGAAAGATAAAAATAAACATGTGAATAACACTAGCTACCTCTTACATAAATTTCTCCAGTATGAGACACGGAAAGACATGTCCAAGTAGAAGAAATTTATCAGTGTGACCGGCACATGAGGTGGTACACCACGTGTCACTATGTAAATGATGGGATATGTGTGTTAAAAAATTAAGGGAAATTTTATTTGAATACATCTAATCTCTTTCTACACCCAACTTACCATCTTCACCCATATTGTTTTTTATTAAAGAATTAATATCTCTTTAAACCCAAATTTATTACCTAAACTACCCTTTCAAACCCAATTCAAAATGTAAAATTATCTTTACACCCACTCCCTTAATAAAATCACATATCTAATTGAATGTTTTTTATTCAAAAAGGCGTCATTTGCCCCTCTATAATTGCTTATGCTGTATAGGACTAGCATTTCCATGGCTGCTTTTTTTCTTTCTACTGCAACAACCCATCCATGGACTTGGGATCCAAGAGATCATTCCATAAACTTGAATTTGCCAAGAGAATGTTACGCAAGCTTTGTCTACTAATTCCTGGAGTTGGATCTTCAATTCTCTCAACTCCGCTGGTGCCATTCGATAAGGTGCCAAGGAAATAGGATTTGTACCTGGGAGTAAATCGATAGTAAACTCAATTTCCCTCGCAGGGGGCAACCTTGGTAAATCATCCGAAAACACATCAATGAAGTTCCTTACAACTGGCACCTCTTCTGGACGTAAAAAAGGTTCATCATTCACAACTACGTGGGCTAAAAACCTCACACAACCCTTATTCAACAACCTAGTTGCTCGAATAGCAGAAATAATACTATTGGGGATGACATGTCACTCACTCATAAATGTAACTGCTGGAAGTCTTGGCCGATTGAACATCACAATTTTCTCCCAACATGCGACATTCGCTCAGTGCTTAGATAGCCAATCTATTCCCAGAATGATATCAAACTCCGCTAGTTTAAAAGGAATTAAATCAATCTCTAAGTTTTCCCATTCCACAATAACTGGACAATTCCGATATTGCTAGTGAGCACAAAACAATTCACCACGTGGCATTTGAATCAGCCTATCAAAACCTAGTGGCTGAGGTTGAGAATGTATAACCCGAGCAAAAGATGAAGAAACAAAAGATTATGTAGCACCCAAATCAATTAAAACTCTAGCCCAAGTATTACAGACAGGTAACGTACTGGTGATAACTCGAGGATCTTGATCAGCCTCCTGCTGAGTCATGGCGTTTATACGTCCATGAACCTGATATCCCGCATTATTGTTCCGATTGCCACGACCTATGGAACCACGTCATGCTCTGTTCCCCTGATTACTGTTACCATAAGATGTTCCAGCCTGCTGCTGGGTCGAAAACTGAGCACTCCGGCTGTCATTTCCTCTAAAACTTTGGCTACATCTGCCACCAAACTGCATACCTCTGTTACCCCTGTAGTTCTGATTATTACTGCTACCATAACTTCGACTACTACTGCCATTGCCATCATAGCTCTGTCTGGCACCAAAATTCTGAATTGTCTGATATTCACTGTAGCTTGAGCCAGAGGCAAAATCACCATGTGGTGGTGCTGAAGGACAATCACGAACAAAATGCCCAATGTCACCGCACCTGTGACAAACTACAACAGT